AATAATTGTTGAAGGACAGATAAAAGCTTTCGATACTTGGAAAAATGAAAAAAAAAAAAAAAAAAAAAAAATCAGGAAAAAAAGAAAAAGAAGAAAGAAAAGAAGGAAAAATATGAAATATGTTGAACTTTGTTGTGACAGTGGCAATCGGTTTATCTGAGGGATGTGTCAGTTGCTTTGCTTGGCTAAATTAAATATGCCTGCCTTCCTCTTCCCTTGTCCTTTCTTTCTTCGACTGGATCCCTTTCTCTCTTTCTCTCGCCTCTGTCAGGTTTGGTTTCCTCCTCCTCCTTTTCTTTACCTCCTCGTTTTTGCCTTTTGCCTTTTGGCTGCGTGCGTGCAAGTGGGTCCTTGCGATGGCACACGGGGATGGGGGCAGCCAGCGCTCAACCTGTCATCCACGTGGCTGGCCTTGTGCGTAAGAGGTGATGAACAGGTGGTGGGGCTTTCCTCCCTAGCTTCTTTTCTTTTCCTTGTTTTGCCTTTTTGCGCCTTTGCCCTCCAATTCACAGTGTGACAAGATATAGTTATAAGGAAGAAGACATATATAAAAAAACGAATTCTTTCTTCTTTTTTTTTTTCTTTTTTTTTTTTCGCTTTTGCGCTCTCATATTCATGTGATGATATATATTGTCAGAAAAATATCAGAGCGCAAATGCGAAAAAAAAAGGAAGAAAGAAAGGAAGAAAAACAGGAAAAAATGAATTCATTGTTTTATCTTCTTCCTTATAACTCCCCCTGTTCAGAACCTCTTGCGTACAAGGCCGCCCACGTGGATGTAGGTTGAGCGGCGGCTGCCCCCACCCCCGTGTGTCACATCGACCCACTTGCACACAGCCAAAGGGCAAAGAGGCAAAGCAGAGAGGAAGGGAACAGCCAAATAAAACAGAACAGGGGGCAACAAAACAACAAAACAGATCGGATTCCCAGATGACAAGTCCCCACATGCAAGCACCGCCCCCGTCCTACACAGGCCAAACGACGGGACAAGGCCAACCAGGATGTCAAAACATTCTTGTCTGCAAAGAAAAGAAAAAAAAACAAAGTCCCAGATACATATCTATACACAGCAGATGGCCTTGTTCGTCATCATCAAGAAGTTGGTATTCCTATTCGGCTAAGTCCATCGTAAGCAATTCGTACGGGGACATCATAAAAAACAATCCTAGATGATGATTCCCACATAAAAGCACCGCCCCACCGCCCCCATTTGATAAAACAATCCTAGATGATGATTCCCACATAATACCACGGCCCCACTGCCCCCATTTGATAGGCCGAACAACGGGAAGCAACCAACTAGGATACCAAAAAGAACCCGAATAGAGTGCATGGTATTATTATAATTGCTGTATTTGGGCCAACGTTCAGTCTAGATGCAGAGATAATGGCCGCACGTTTTTTTTCTACCGGGGGGAACGTACACCATGGACGTGGGGATAGCAATCACCCCTTCAGAATTGGAAAAAAAAAAAAAAAAAAAAAAAAG